GCCGCAGAAGGGGCAGTATAAGTCCGAGCCATACAAGGGGCATGGCAAAGAGAAGGGCAAGGAGAAGGGCAAAGGTAAGCCTGCCCAGGAGCGGGTTTACTACGGCGAGCGAGAGTGGTCCGGATCTTGGAGCTTTTCGTGGAAGTGGACTGCCTCCCGGGGATGGTGCTGGGAGTGGGACCCATAGATCCCTTTTGGCCACTAGTGTGTGTGTCTTCCATGCTAACGGGAACGTTAGCCGGAATGCTTTCTTTCTCATGTTGGTATGTGAAGTATTGGAGTTTCAAATTCGTTACGCTAACGGGAACGTTAGCCGTCTGTCATCTTTTGGGCTAACTGTTTCAACAGCGTTGCGAACCGGAAGGTTTGCCGCGTCCATTTTGGCTGGCATGCCTAGTGCATTCATCTTGTCAATAGTAATTCACGGTTCAAGTCACCTATGGCATCTTGTTTGGAGTGGTAATGCTCCCGTGATGCTAGGTGGAAACCTAAGCCGTGTATTTTGCCTTTTGCAGCATCCCGCTACGAGCGCAAAAAGAGCCGAACCTCACATGCAACTTTCTCCACTACAACCACGCATTCGTAGGTCGTGCATATTGTACATAGCATTGCAGCCTGTCCTAAGGTCTATGGTGGCTGCTGTCTGCCTCTTCGGTGCTGCCAGTGAACTGGCGGCGCCGCGGGGGGTATTTTTCACAGCTGTTGTACATATACATCGTACCTACCACGCGTGTTATGGCTCAAGAAAAAGGTGTAGTATTTTGGCTGTTTCCTATCTGAAATAGAGATAAGGCGCCTGCTGCACAGGCTACCTTATTTGATCTTGGTTAAGCCTTTGTTCAGGGAGCCGCGGTGGGAGAGAGAAAGAGAGAGAGAGGAACTAACATAACTAAGGACGTCCTGGAACCCCTGGCAAGTAATTGAGGTATGTCCAAACAGGCTAAAGGGCATGAAAAGAATACTAAATAGAAAGGCAAGGATAAAGGCAGTTGAAAGGATGCGAGGAAAGAGTGGTATGCATTGAACATAGGAACGCTAAGATGGCACACTACACACAAAGAGAGAGAGAGAGAGGGAGTTACAGAGAGTGAGAGAGTGAGAGTGAGAGCGAGCTAGTAGTCTCATACCAGAATCCAGCAAATGGAATGAAGTCCAAGAGAAGGAGCAAAGGAAAGAAACTATACAGACAGGAAACCTACAGTGCATGACACTCTTTGGGCTGCTGAATGGAAAAGGTTTTTTTGCGGAAACTGAGTTTCTGGTGTGGGAGAACTGGAAAGCGTCGACAGAGAGAGAGAGAGAGAGAGAGAGGCAGAGAGAGAGAGGGAGAGAGAGAGACCAGCAAACAGAGTACAACACCCTTAAGGCCTGCAACAAACAATAAGATGGCATACCAGCCAAACGGCTCTAGTAGATTACAATGCCGATCCCCCCAAGCATCAATTGACCACTATGATGGCACACATGGCCCTTTCAGATCCTCGATGTGTTTCATCAAAAAGTGCATATATGCCATGTATTGTCTCGATTCCTGTGTGCCATCAAAGTGTGAACCTGTATACTGGATCGCCGTCCTTGTCCTCCTCTCCGCGAGTGCACCTTCGACGACATGTTGCTCCTATGCCCACCAGATCCTTGCCTGTGCTCTTTTCCTGGTGAAGGAACAGACCACTTTGCGCCCACTCGATCAGCATCTACAGCAACTCTCTTTGCCCCCTGCGTGTTTGTCCTCGGTTTCGTTTCCCCCTTCTCAGGTCAGCAACAGATAGATAGTGTACATAAACTGAACTGCCCAGCCACAAGAGACTATCGTTCTTGGGCGTCCTGAATGCGACCCTGAGGTAGAGTGTGTGAGGCTTAACCAAAGATATCCAGGTCCAAAGCCAATGTCTTCTCGAAGTGGTTCATGATCTTTGCTGCGTGACTGGTTCAAGTTTTTCATGATAGAATAATGGCAATTCGGAAGGTTAAAGTGCAAACTGAACATCGAGAAACTGCAAATATATATATATAGATATCGTAGTAGGCTTGAAGACGCAACAAAAGTCAGGTCACTGAAATATCAAAGGGCTTGGCAACTGAGCGATGCAAGCCAGTAGAAAGTCGCGATGGCAGTGACACAAGTCTCTCGTCGTCCCCAGTGCTCAAGCAAGTCCTTCAAGAATGTGTCTAGAGGGCCTAGCCTGGAGACGACCACTGCAGGAAGCTCTTCAAGCTGTGCTGGAAATGCATCACCAGTCTTTGACACATCGACAACATTGATTTTTGTCGACTGGGATGACACTCTGTTCCCGTCCACGGAGGTCTTCGATCGCTGGGGTCTTCAGCTTCGATCATATAAAAGGGATGACTTGAACGCGGAACAGCAGCTTCTAGTCAACAACTGGAAAACATCACTCCAGCGATTTATGAAGGCAATCATGGAGTTCTCTGGACACTGTGCCATCGTGACAAATGCTCAGATCTCATGGGTTGAGGATTGTTTGCATCGTTTTGCGCCGGAAGTTCTTCAATCTCTGTCAGGGCCAGGCGGTCCCACAATTTTACATGCAAAGGATGTGCTGAGGTCTCTGAGGTCCAGAAAGAAGATCTGGCAACATGACGAGATTGCAATTCCTGCTCGATATGCAGACGTTTATCGGGACGAAGACATCGAGCATTTCAAATTCGTGGAGATGACGGCTGCAAAGTACCAAGCCATGAGGCTAGAATTCAATACGGTTTTTGCTGGGCGAAACATCTCCGGATGCAACATTATCAACTTCGGTGACATGGAGTACGAGCATGAAGCTGTACTGGAGCTTGGAATGCGTCTATCTGAAGTAGGAGAAGAGCCCTTGATCAAGTCGTTTCTTTTGCCTGAAGTGCAGACCTTGGAGTTCCTATGATTCTTGTCCACTTGACTCATAGGAACATGAAAAGGCCTTCTTGATCTTGACTGCTCCTTAGTGCTGGAAAGAAGTCAAAACCTCACCGTGTTTCCAAGGCGCCAAAGATCACTGAACTGGCTGTCAGACTGGATTTGCTCCGCCTCTTATTGCCATGCCCTTAGAGGATAGCCACAAAGACTTTGGCCTGTAGCTTTGCACCAAGGCCCGCAATTGTTTGTGCAGATGCTGACATTGCGCTGAACTTCAAGGAAACGTCATTTTGTGTTGATTGCACGCTATTCTCAAGATCGCAAGGTTTTTGGCCTTTGAGAACTGGCTAAGTTACAGGAGTCTGGCTCTACCCCTATGGCGCTTCTTTCCAAGGTGGGATCAACCTTGATGTTGTTGTTGTCCTTCGACCAATTTTGCGTTCCCATCTCTTCAATTTTTTTTTTCCAACGCTGATTCAAAGCAACGGCATCAATTGATACAATCGACAAATATCACACTTTCATTTATGGCCCTTCAAACAGTTTTTTTGACGCAGGCCTTGCGAATACCTGACCTGGAACGTATCGAGTTCCCACACGTCTTTGGTTGCGGACAGCCACCTTCTGAAAATGAGGCAAGGCTTGCCGACAGGGAATCATTATCAAAGTGACAGTTCCTTCCAATATTCGATTCATTGCAACTACTGGTCGGCAGGTGGTTTAACACACACACTCTCCAACTGTTCAATTCCCTGCAACTTCAGTTGGTCAGTCTGTTTGCAAGTTCTTCAAAATCTAGGTAAGTTTGCCGATGGCAGGTGACAGAATTCCTGCAAGAAGTGGCTGTTGCACTAGCTTTCCGTCATTGAGGCTGATGTCGGAAATGATGGTGCAAGAAGGCTTTTCACGGGAGAGATATATAGCTCGTTGTCCTAGTTGGTGCAGGTGCGTTGCTTATGACATTGTGGTCATCACAAGAAGCCACAGAATTCAGGTCATGTGACTCACGAAGGTGAGTCGAATGCCAAACATCAGCATCTATATTGATCCCACAACAAGTGGAAGATGCACGGGACAGCTGGAGCATCCGTGGTCCAAAAAGTAATCCTTTCTGATTCACAAGTGTTGCTTCGCTGTGAGAAGGGCCCCAAGAAGAGACACCTCTCTGGGTCTTACGGCGAGGGTTCAAGAAAAGCTTGTCCAGACTGGCGCGCCTAAGGCCTTGGCACGTGCCGCTCTGTCACTCGCAGCGTGCCGCTACAAACACTTTTTGCCCCAAGGGATGCTTCTTGCCATCAGATATGGCTGTGGTTCAAAACCAAAGCTTTTGAATATGATGGTCCCATCGGAGGTGAGCATCCCACATAGTTCCGTTTCATGTGTGTGTGTCGTTGGTGTGGCGTTTTGACCCAGACCCACATGTGCATGCTGCCTGACAATCCCTTCCTGATGTTTCATGGAAAGTCAAACCATTCGCAGACCCTATGCGTACCTTATCGTCATCAGCTCAGGCTTGCGCTCGTCCTGGGTGGTCTCTTAGCTCATCGAGAGATCTTTAAGATGCGAGGTGATATGATCAAGAATTTCAATCGAAGAAACTTATATAATGTCCAGGGACTGCCTCCAATCCACACTCATCTCTGAGGGGTTTGCCTCACTGCGCCACCGCATGATGCTACAGGGGCTTGTGCTTGTCCGATGTGTCAAGGCTTGTCGGCTTGTCAACACCCGTCACTTGTGGAATCGAGGGACATGCTTGTCATTCACATGACCGTCATGACACAGGCATATTTTGAGCTTCGCCGGGCTTCATCGCTTCGCCTGCAACCATGTGAGGGAGGTCCCTGACCGCAGACTCTGTTGTGGTGCCCCCCCAAAACGCCCCAACGAGGCCGTGCCGTGGGGAGGCTAGGCCTTCCGATGTCCATAGACGAGCGACCGGAGAAAGCGAAAGCCGAAGCATCTGGCCTCTACGTCCGAGTGCGAGCCGTGTGCTTGTGAAATGAGCAGGGTCGTGTGCCTCGACCAGTGCATTGAAGAGAAAAGCGCTGCTCGTGTGGACTGGTTGCCAACTTGACAATATTTGCATTCCGTATCTATCTTGTAAACACTCACATTTCCCTCTGTGCAGTGTGTGCAGGTTCCAATTGTTTTCCTTGCCACAGACTGTTGGAGTGTGGGCTTGATCCTCACGAAGGCACAAGAATGAACTAGTTTTTTGCAGGGAAACGTTTCTTCCTGGCCAGGTCTTGTGGCGCTTGGTGCAGAGCGACATGATCATGCACAGATTGCACCAAGAGTAAGTATCTGAAGAATCTTATGGTGCTAAAATCTTTTTGCGTCAAGCAATTCCAATTTGTGGATGAACATGAGCCAAGGATCATGTCGGTGTGGAACGAGGCCCAAGGTTCGCAATGTTTGAATTGTGCTTTAATATCCATCCAATGACCAAAAGCGTTGTTTTCCTGTTAGTAGTGAAGGCTCACTGACCTACCTTTTCTTCAACTTGCGATCGCATTGGAGAATTTGGAGGACACCGTGAACTTCTGGTACTGACATAGACCCTGCAAGATTTTAGCAAACCACACCAGCTTGCTGGCTGGAGCCAGGACTGCAGTCTTGCCGATGCTGGAGGTATCCATAGTAGCCGTTCTTTTGTGCAGCTGTTTTTGCATGGCATTCAGGCAATTGTGTTTCACTTGGTCTTCCCACTTACAGTGCTTGCCTTGGGATTTCAGAACGATCCACCGAGGGGCACAGTCGAGAAAAACCGAGGCGGTGCTGACCTTGCTACAATTCGCTGGAGCTGGTCAGGTTCTCCGCTTAGTGCGGCATTCTTGACATTTGCATACATTTGTATTGTGTGTAGCCGCTGTGCGGAGACTATGCTACTCATTCCTCAAAGTTGCCAAGGAATACCTCAAAGCTGCTCTTCTGATGTACTGCTACCACATCGTGCTCGTTGTGCGAATCACGTCCCTTGGCGGAACCTGGTGGGAAACACCTGAACTATCGGCATTGCTGATGCTATTGTTGTGATTTGTTATGTATTGAACAGTGGATTGTTTTCGTACCAAAGTTGAACCAGTGAATATATATATATACACCTAATGCAAGGATAAGTTTGAGGCCCGTGGGCTAAAATCGGCTAAAGTGATCTCATGAATAATATTGTAATACTATTCTTCCATAAATCTTGCTATATATAATGTACACACACATATTTCTTTTTTAATTCGTCAAGACCAGATCCTATTTTTTTTTGGTGAAACACACGAAAAATGAGAGGAAAGTAAGACTGTGAAAAAAATGAACACACATTTAATGACACATTCCGGGGCCTTCCTTAAAAAGACCCTTACCTTCTTATTGTACTTTCATTCGTTTCGGTTTAACTTTCTTTGCACATTTTGTTTGTGCTGTCAGAGCCGGCACTTAAACGCCCGGTGCCCGGAAACCCTGTCCAGGCTGTGTGCCCTGCCGAGAGGCCGGACGTGGCTGCGTGAGGCGCGGCAAAATGCAGGAATGCTGTGGCAACTGAACATCGAGCAAAAAGAAGAACGCACATTGCAGCAAACAGGTTACGGTTTTGAGTTTTGAGCGTCATTCTTTTGTGTGCTTCTTGGAGAACATCCTTGGGTTCCAATTCGTTTGCCAGACGGTCTGAAGACGCTTCCGAAAAACTATGCTGATCCCTTGTCCGGCAATAGTTTCTTACCGCTGCCACTTTGTTCCATCGAAACCGTTACTGTATTAAATTTGTATCCTAATTTTTGTGTACAACCGTAATGACAAGATGTGGTTCAGACAAGATGTGGTTGCAGGCGGTTCACTAAAGCAAAGACTTCCTCTCACTGCCTTGCTATGTACGATTTATTATTTGTTCTTCATTGTAGTTTTCTGCCATTGGTTGACCATGAAGTAGGTAGACATGGAAGTGCTGGTGTCAACACTATCCAGTCTATATTGTCTATACCAGTGAACAGAGTGCAATCTTCTGAAATGACTCACTTGTTGCAGTCTCGCCAGGTGCGGCAGCAAATATTTGATAGCAAATACTTGGTGGGCTTCCAAGGGGTTCACGTTCTTGTTTGGCTGTCAGGTTAAATGGTTTCTTCTACTGCAATGCTCCAATCCTGTAGGGCTTGATTGCATCATTTCAGTTTTTTGTACTTTGAGTGGAAGCTTCACCTCGCTTGAACCAGATTTGCTTGCCTTGGTGCCGAGATCTCAACTGAGCTGCAGAACTACCACCAGGAAACTGATTCTCCTGAGTCCAAGGACATGATTTATTTTGTTTGACTCAGCAGTTGTAGTTTCTTCTTGATCAAGTATACAGATTTGAATTGATTTCTTGCACCGAAGGAGGATTCCAGCTAGACCCTCCTGCATGAGTTGGCAGCAGACTGTACAGTCAGTTGTAAAGTACCATTTGATATATCGAGTAATGCAATGTTTGTATGGAGGATCACGTTCTTGCTTTTTATCACTACTGCACAGCAAACTTGTGGCTTTTGGAGAACTCCACGGAGATTGGAACCTTCCATGAGCTTCTCAGCAATAGACCTGTTCGTTTCATTCTTTGGCACTCAACCAAAACGGCATCCGCTTGTGTTTTCGCTTTTTACTTGCCAGTCCTTTACGGATCAACAATGCATCTACTTCAGATATATAAGGACCTACAACCCTTTCACATGCCATTTATGCAACAGCAAGGATTGGGTTTCTGCTTGGTGCATCCTTGATTTCAGATGCTCTGGTGCACTGTCAAGCTCGGCTCGAAGGGATCCAAAGAGGCTTGCTCACGCATCTTCAGGCAAGGCATCAAATTAGAACTTATGCAAGTTTCAGTCTCCGAATTCCATAGATCATGAGGTTCTAGAGTCTTAATTAATTGCCTGAAGGTGAAAGCTGTGCGAAGAGAATGCCGCCAAAGCGAACATCGAATTTGCAGGTCTTTGAACGCACTTCAACTGTAACTTTGTGCCCGTTGATTGGCATTTGATTCGAAGGCAAAGACCACTGCTGCAGGCTGCAAGTGTATGTGCACTTACAGACAAATGTCATAATGTCCTGAGCGGCAATGCATGAAATATGTGTCAGGGAAAGCCAAGGCAGCCCCAAAGCCAAAAGGCAGGATCTTACCGCGTTTCTCTTTGACTTAGATTCCAAGTTTCCTGGAGGCAAACCTGCAGCAAAATCTGTGGCAGTTCCAAAAGCAGCTCCAAGGTTTGGCTAACACTTTTTGGGAACCTCAAAAGAGGAATGTGGAGCTATGTTTTGTCACAGGGCAGCTAAGGCTGAGAAGGACAAGAAGGAGAAGAAGGCAGCGACCCCCGGGGCTGAACTGTGACAGTTTTGTGCATCTTCTCATGAATCGTGGAAGAGGTGGCCCCGGTGCTGTATAAAGAGAATGATGTGAACCTCCAGGTCCCGCCCTTTGTCTTCCCCAGCTTCTATTCTCTCACAGTTCACAACTCTTGAGAGTGCCATTTCTGCACGATGCTTTTCTTGACAGATGCTGCTTGCCAAGAACAAGGCTCCTATGCCAGTGGCTTTCCCAGCTAAGTTGCTTACCAGAGTTCACATGGAGTGATGGCAGGCACAGCTTGAGCTAGCCGTGCAAAAGGCAAGCTGTACGGACGCGCTACGTCATGCTGAGTTTGGAAGGTTTACGGTTCTTCCATGACTGGCGTTCTTCTTGGAGAGTCTCATGGGAGTTTTATGTCTCCTATACTGCTTGCTAAGAAAGTCTGGACTACTTGCTTTCTTTATCTTTCTGATTCACTTTGAGTCTCAATTCCCGGAAATCTTGGGTGAGGCTGAGGAGCTGGAAGCTGTGGTGCAGGAGGAGCGCTTCAAAGCTGGGGAGGCCAGGATTGGACGAAGAACTCGTTTCTCAAACGGAAGGAATGTCCAAACGATAATTTCCAACACCGGTGTTGACTGGCTTGTAACTACTTTGCCTTCTTTCCTGAGTTTGCTTTTGTATTGTTTTTCTTTTCCCTCTCTCTCTCTCTCTCTCCCTCCCTGGACAAGTCTTTGACTTGACTGGTCTCCTTTTTGGATTTGCTGGGCGAGGCAGAGAAGCGTACTGCTGCAGCTGAAGCTTATTTGAATGACCGAATGCTGCAATGTTTGTGTTTGACAAAGATGCTTCAGGTTCAGGCATGTCATTTATCAGCTTCACTAATGTCGCATGGGCCACCCAGTTACGGAGAGCTTTCTCAAAACTTCCTTTTGTTACAGGAGCTCAAAGAGCGGGCTTCGCGGACAGAGGCGAAATGCAATGCTTATTATTGTTTACGATCACTTCCTTCACAGCGCATTTCTGTAAAGATGCCCAAGAGATGGTAGAGAATCACCATAATCCCTTCACACCGGCCAGCTTCACTTGCTGCCAACTCCCCATGCTTGGTTCGCAAGCAAAAGCATGGCTGTGGAAATCAGAAGATTGGGGATTGAACAGGCCCTTCAGATTCACAAGACCTCCGCCAGGCCTTGCAACTGGAGGTTGCACAAGCGCAGGCGCGTGCCGCTCATGCCGAGGCCAAGGCTGAGGCCGGCTGGGCCAATGCAAAGGCTTTTGGTGCAGAATTCAGACCAGTCGAGTTGGTCTTTGTGATGCAGTCAGTACAATTAGAAGGTATGCGGTATACTTTTTGTGTCGCAGCAGAGTCCTGGCTGGAGGTCCTATCAGAACTTCAAGAGAGTTTCCAGAGGAACGTTCCGGAGATGGTGCCACAGCCCGACGACAGTCGTTGCAAGCATGTTCCAAGCTGCTGCTCAGTGCTGCTTGCCCTTGTGCACTTGTGCCCAAGGTGCGCTCCATTGCTGAGACAATGCTCGAATACACAAGTCGCATACACCTCAGAGTATCGTCAGCCACTGCTGTGAGCAGAGCTTGGCATTTTTCGGTTCAAGGTCGCCGAAGCCAGAGAACTTTGACTGGAGCCTGCTTCAGTGGTGTGAAGCCGAAGCTGGAGATTGAGGAGCGCCATCAGCTCGCACAGCTTGCCCTTGGGGTCTGGTGGATTGCCTCACACTGAAGGATAACTCCGACCCAATGCCCTTGATGCCACTTGGAGTCTCCGAGGCAACGTCATTTCTTTTTGTACAACGCATGAACAGATCCCAATCCTGTCAAAGCTGTGCCAGTTTAGTCAGAGTCAGATAGTGTGGCAAGGATCTCATGAAGCCAGACCGGGCATCAGATCAGCTCATGAAGTGACCTGTTTGCAAAATAGCTATGCATATTGTGTGCTCTTTTCGAGTAAGACACACCAGGTTCTACGGCCAAAATGGCCCGGAGGAAATCCCAAGTCCAGTGCCCAGTAAAAAGCTTGAGGGGACAACTGAGTATCATGTGTTTGAGGCTCAGCAGAAACGAAGAGTGACTCACAAAGTGGGCGAAGCATTCCCAAGGCTGGTGTACTAGCATGTTATGATTGGCACATCTAGATCCTAGAATCTAGATGACATTCAGTTCTTGACCCGCACCCGTTGAGACAACCAGGTTGCATCAAGGCTGACCGATGGCGTTGCTGGTGTTTTCAATCGGGCCGGGAGCCAAAGGGTGCAAAACAGGTGTGCAAAAGGTTGATTCTGTTTGGCTGTCCTTTTTCTCTTTCGGTGAGACACGTTGAAGTCTGACATTTTCCTTTGATTCGGGTATGCAACAGTGAGAAACTGTTATGCGGCCTTCTCTTTTTCAGGCATAAGGGCACCGGCAATACTAAAGGATGCAGCTTATGAACAGCATCAAGCAGCACCTTTTTGACAACATTTGGCTTGTTTATATAAGTACCAGAAATGAAGGCCACAAGGATGTGCGATCGGTACAGTGGTTATTGGAAGAGTTGCCAAGAACAGTTATTGTACACACGTGTTTGGATGCCAAAAGTCGGTGCCAAGGAGTTTGTACAAAATGGCAACACTAATTTGCGTGGTCAATTTTACTGTAAAAGAACATGATGAAGCGGCACGCAAGAGAATCCCCAAAAACACCAGCTAGGCTCTAGCATAGCGCTCGTGGTGCGCTAGTGTGTTTTTCATTCTGCTTAGACGGATTCACCTGGCACACAATTGTAATTATGTATGTAATATAGTAATATATGATTAATTAATTTGTAGAGCATTTCGAACTTGGCGAGCAAAAGGTTCTCAAGGAGCGGCCGAAAGTTCTTGACGATTGGGAATTTGCATGAATGCTTGAGTATTTTCAACAGGAGGCATCAAGACTTCATTCTTGAAAGGTGGAGTTCCAGGAAATGTCGCCATCAATTGACACATAACGGCAGCAACAGCCCCCGAATTTGGAATTTTAGGACGCATTAATATTCCAGAATAGAATATACAGTCAACATGTTCGACTGTATACTCAATTCGGGAATATTGATTCGTCCTAAACAAGCTGCATGAGGCTCGAGTATCGTGGAGATTTAGTGTGTATTTTTCAAACTGATCTTTCCCCGGATACGTCTCCAAGTTTTTGACCATACAACAAAATGCTTTTGCCTGCATTTTGGGGGATTGTGTTTTTCTTTTTTGACTGGCAAGGGCTGTATGTTCGGGTTTCCAACGATTTCATGAATTTGGGTAACATCTTGCCCATTGCCAACTTTAAGAAGGATATTGCAAGCTCCAGCCACGATTTTGATATGCCTTATCATTTTGGAACGATTGGATTTTCCAAATAGGGCCATGACAATGCAAGGCAAAACAACCAGGTCATCTCGCCCGTCCTAGGACCCCGCGTAAAGCACCGAAAGATGTCATGAGTCGTGCCTGGACAGGCACTTTGCAAAAACAAAGCTTAAGCATGCTTAAGTTGCCACAGGTCAGAAACTTGTTGAAGCTCCTTTTTGTGATACTGGTAAATAGCTTCTCGAAGGTTTTGAAAGTCTTTTGTTCGTGTTCTTTGGCCTGTACTGCAGCTTGATCTGCAAAATTACTACCTTCTATCGGGAGAAGTCCTTTCATGTTGATCACCTCAGTGATACAGCTGACAAAATTTGACTTTTGAAGATATGAAACGTGACCTACGTAATTCGTAGTCATTCGAGCAAGTTCTCACTTCAGAGACTCCAGGTTCAGCAAACGCATGAATGCGATCGAACGCATCTTCGGAATGTGTGTAGATGATTCTACTAGCAAACATTGTTACTACTAGTAAGGCACTTGTTACTAGAAGCGATGCACTTGTTCCTAGTAGCTTATTGTTCTGTTGCCTGAATTAATGTTCTGTTGCATTTAGCATACGTCTCGGCTCTAGAGATTGTTTGAGGGCCGTCTGAAAGCAACAACTGATGTTGCATCGGTCTGCGTGTGTTTGAACTTCTAATCACGCAGCAGGAGTTGTGAATAGATTTGTTGCATTTTTACATAACGGTCTCTGAATATTTGAGTATTTCCCTTATCGGAAGCTTTAACATTTGCTGTAGGGGTACTGTAGGAGGGCCTAGGAGGGTCATGTCGTTATGGTGTTGCAGTAGAGGACACCAGCAGTGGCTACCGGAAGTTTTTTCAGCAGTGGCTACCGGAACGGGCACTGTATATGTGCTTCACGGCAATGAGGGTCTTTATCCTTACATGCCTGTGCCGGATTGGTACCCGGCCGCAAACGGCAACGCAAGAACCTTTGTCTGTCGATCAGCAATTGTCTTGAGGGCCTTACACATGAGCTCTGAACACTTTTGGTGTTGGATGAACAATCCGTCGTTTGCTCGTAGCTTTGCAAGTGATGTGTGACATTTATTCGCAAGCCGCGTGGTCAGCTTTTTTGACCGCAGGGAAAAAATCCACCCAACATAAACCTTCTTGCAAGGTTTGTGTGGAAAGTTAGTGAAATGTCATGGGTTTGGTCGAGCTCACTTGTTCTGCAACCAACCCCGATTTGTTGAACTTGATATCCCTTCCACACCTGTTTTTGCTTGCTAGGGCAAGAGAAATAAGCGCAGCTGAAGGTATATCTACAATATTCTTGCTCCCGCTTTCCATGTGCAAAAAACAGGTTCTGCAAGTGCAGTCCTCTTACAGTTTCTTTGTTGGACCGAGCTTGTTGCTGTGGGTCTGAATGCCCGTTGTCGTCAGCTTTCACCTGATGTCCTGGCCTTTGAGAGTGGTTGACTCGTGGCTGAGGCAGTGCGCAGCACGAGCGGCCGGTGAAGTGCGGCATGGATCATCCGTTCAAAGCTGTAAGCAAAGAGCAAAGAGCCTTCAAGTGCATGCGAAGAGCCTTTGTGCGTGCTGTAAGCTTCACTATTCATGCAATGTGGATCTCGCACACCCTCCTTCTTTGTTGCATGTCTGCTAGCATTGATATCTTGTATATAAAGGTGTAGCAGACGTGTTTGAGACCCCTTCCCAACAAATGATCGCTGCTTGTGGCGAAGGCTTGGGTATACCAGTGAAATGCAGCTGCGGGTGCTTGAAAGCAGAGCTTCAATGACTACATGCTTCACTTTTTTGCAAGATTCTGTTGCTTCGCCCGCAGCTGACCTGCATTGAAGGTAACTGAATTCGCGAGCATGATGCACCGCTAGCGGACTTTCCTGCCACCTTTCTGACATGAAGAGCAATGTGGCATTTGAAGTCCTGCCGATGACTCTTGATCCTTGTGGTTGTGATTTGATCGGATTTCGGGAGTGTATCCTTACAGCTTGTGAAAGCTGCTGGCAAAAGAGTGCATTTTTTGGCTTGGAATGGTGTATTATGTATAGTATAGCGAGTCTTTTGCAGAGCAAGTTGGCCTTTTTGGGACTTGGTATGGCTAGCCTTCCTGGACACAGCTTTGCCTTAACTCAAAAGCAGATCTAATGGATGTATACACTCGACTAATTGAGAATGAACGCAGACTGCAGAGCCATTTGGATCTGGTGGGGAAAGCAATTGCTTTTCGCTCAGCCTCCACTCGAACAGCCACCCGCCCAGGAGAACAGAACCGTGAAAAGAGTGTAAGCCTAGATGGTTTATATATATAACTATAGATTCGACTATAGATTATCTAGACGCATTTGGGTATGGCCTGGTACTTGAGGCCTATTCCAGCAGTTTTGCGCGTGGTTCATAGACTTTTTTCCCTGTCATCATTGGTGTGGTGTACACAGGTTATATACGTTGTTTCAGTTCGTCCTCTCTGGCGGAATGGCCAGTCATCGTTCATTTGGATTGTGGCCGTTGGTTACATCGTGATCATTTGGTTCAGATTTTCATGAACAATCGAGATTGTAAGATAAATTGCAAGGGGACCACTTTGAAATAGTTTTGGCTGGCTTGTCTTTGGTTTTGGCTTGGCTCAGGCTCCTTCTTGCAAAGCCTATGTCAACCGTTCAAGTGTGTGAGGTCGGGACTGTTTGGGCAGTTACTTGAGTGATAGTGAGGGGTTCAAGCTTGCTGCCCATTCTTTAACTTTCAGCACTTCAAAAGTCATACAGAACCCAAGCAGGTGAACACACAATCATCGAAGTTCTTTTGTGGCTTGAACCCTTGATGACAGCACAAGATGCGCGTGCCAAACTTATATCATTAAGCGAGTGCATGATGCAACAAGCGAAACCCTAGAAAAGGCCGTGGCACCATTTTAGTAGATATGCAATGTTTGACTTTGGTCTTGAACAGGGTTCGTCAAGAGCACTGGTGTAGCTGGTTCATGGGGTATAAACATGAAGGTACTCTCCCAACCCTATAGAGTTTATTGATGACTTCAAGGCATCCAGCATGTGCAGGCAGTCTCACATACACTTTGGTCGGTGTGAGACAGACGACATAGACCAACAAACATAGACCCAGAGGACCCGGACATTGTCCGATCTCAAGAGCATTGTTCATTGTGAGGGATGCCAGCAAAAACTTGGTTTGGTCTATTGATGTTGTGGCGAAGCCAAGTAATTAAAGTACGGCACCTCTTCACTCTCAAGGTGCTGTTTTCAGTGACAACATCTGACCAACAATTGATAACAATTGTATATACTTGGTATATCCGGTCAATGGCGTCACAGTGCAAAGCTTGACGTCCCAAGGTCTCCAAGCATCATAGCAGCAGCTCTGCAGGCAGAAGTAGAATGTCTATTTTGTGTTCTTGTGTATGGATGGCTTACGAACAAGAAGAGCAATAGTCTTTTTCTTGTGATCTTGCTCGTGTCTTGTCTTTCCTGCACGAAGAGTTGAAACTGCTGGAATCCTGCACACTGCCCCGCCGATCTTAGATTTCTCAAAGTGACGATTGTGCGAACATCCTCCGGGATGTTGGCAACTTGCGGAAGCTGTGAAGCTTGAGCAGCGACGTTGCCGATGCTTTTAGCTACTGCACTGGATCCGATGACCGCTCGCCAAACTTTTCTCAGGTGGGACAGCACATCAAATGGGAGCACGAGGAGCACTGGCACAAGGTGCACGAGGTGCACTGGCAATGAGAAAGGACTTCTGGCAGCAAGCTTTGCAACTGATAGCAGACTTGTCTCAAAGAAGAACACATCCAAGTGTCTTCACGCTCAACAAGACTTTGGCAGTCCTCAAAGATGCGGACAAAGGTCTTTTGGCTCATGATTTCTTCGGTACTTTTCCGGAGAGGCGTGTGGATCCAGATTTGGTCAGCTACAACATCACCACGAGCGCACTAGAACGCTCCTCCTTGTGGCAAAAAGCAATTGCAAATGTTCGGGAACTGATTGAGGCGAACCTTTCGCCCAATGTGATCTCCCTGAATTCCTTGCTGTCTGCCATTGGAAGAGCCAGCAACTGGAGGGGCGCCCTACTTGTGTTCAGCACTGATGTCACTCTCACGAGGACAAGGAAGAATGACATGAGAACCCTCAGCGACCTATTCACCATGCTCAAGACTGCAAGAGCGCATCCAGATGGAGCTAGCTATGGCATTGCGATAAAGGCTTGTGTGGAAGTGATGGAGTGGAGGCAAGCTTTGGCTTTGCTGCCCGAGAGCAGCTCTTTTCCCTCGAAGATCTCAGAAAGGGCTGCGATTACGACCGTGCTTTCGGGTTGCAGTATTGCTTCCAAGTGGTTACAAGGACTAATGATTCTTCACAAGCGATTTTCAGACTTTCGTTTCCGAGACTCTGCTCTGGTGGGTGCCATGGTGAATGCTTGTGCATCTGGTCAAGCTTGGCAATTGGCAATTGCCACGTGGAATGAGCACTTTGAACTCAGTAATGAAGTAGTTTTAAGGTCAGTCATCGCTGCCTGTGAGCTGGGCTCATGGGAGGTGGCGATGCTTCTGCTTGGGACCTATCGCCACAACTATGGACACTTGCACTTCACATCCATCGCTTCAGTAGCTGCCATGGCTTCAGCTGCGAAAGCCACTCAATGGCAGCTGGTTCTGCTGGTGCTTCAGGAGGGATTTGTAAGTTGTTTCTCAGTTTAGTAATTTTTCCCGACAAACAGAATTATTGTTGCCATTAAACGGGTATTAGTTTCTGCTGGAATGGTCGCAGGAGCTGGGCTGTGATGATAGGCCTGGCGCATCCAAATGAAGACTGTATACTGGACAAGTTGGACCAACGAGGCATCATGCAATCTCCAGGAATGGACAGACACATGTTTGGCTCTGAAGTTTAGAGGCCACCTGTGGCAGCAATCAACGTGGTGTTGGACTCTGTCTCGAGAGGAATGCAATGGATACACAGAGCGGTTCTGAGTTAGAAAGGGTAGTATTTTCTCGGGCAGGTCTTTGTGTGCAAGTAATTTGTGATCATTTCTGCTATTTGCTGTGTGGGTGGAGTGGAGTGCCTGTCCTCTCTTCAAAGATATCGCAAGCTGTGGATCAGGGATTGGCTTCAACCACCTGCGAAAGCATACACATATCTTGCTTGTATCATTTTGCTGCTGTAGGCCAAACGGTGTAGTCCAAGTTGCAGCAGTTCTCGAGGTCTGTGGTTGCTGGACCAGGCCGAGGGCCATGAGTTGAAACAAGGCCACGAGTTGAGTTGCTTTCCTGTCTCAAAAGGCCGAGAAGACTCGAGTGACACGCCCGTCCACGTACGCAGCTGGGACAATGGCGTTTCAGCTGCAGCCCCGCGTGTTGCAAAGGCCTTCGAAGTGTGAGAGCAACCCAAGCAATTCTGCTTTGCTTTAAGTCTCGATGCCATCAGCTTGGTTCGGCGACATTATCAAGCTGCCACCAACGGGCTTTTGGCACAAGGCGGGTTCTCACTTTTACAACGAACTGCTTGGAAGTACTGCAAGTTTTAAACAGGTGCTCGCAGTGCAGAAGCGGTTGGAGACCTTTTGTCTCTTGGCAGTGCGATTGAATCATTCCGACAAACTCTTCAAAGCGAGTGTTGAAACCCAGGCCAGCAGCTGAAATGCTGATTTCATCGTCAATGGGGAATGCTCCAGGAGTTTGGCTCTTGGAATCATTTGCTTTGCGGAATGGCAGAAAGCCGGCATAAACGGGCTTCAAGCCAGCAGCACACCATTCGACTTTGTGGCTGTGTGCGGAGTTGTGATGTAGACATCGCAAAATCCGAGGCCGCAGCTGTTCGGCTGTGCAGCGATGCTGCGTCAGGGTTGACACCACAGGCTCCAAATGCTGATAAGGGCGGGTCACAGGCGTTGAGAAATTGCTATTACTAGAACGAGCTCACTGGTGTAGCCCGAAATTCCTGGAGTAACCCAGAACAGAATCGTGAGTATCACACGAAAACTGGCTGCATCACGCGAACAGTTTGTCTATGAACAAGTTCTTCCACATTACAACTTTGACGAACACTCTGATGACGAAAGAGTGTATGCAGCTGCAATAAGCTACTAGGAACAAGTGCCTTACTAGTAGTAACAGGTGCCACGCTACTCTACTAGGAACAAGGAGCTATTAAAAACAATAAGAATAACCTTCTAAACCTGTTTCTTGGCTGTGCCAACGCCTTGCACTTAGCCCGTCCGGACCGGTCGGCGCAGGGTAACGGCTGAATAGAGGAGTAGAGTAGTATGCTTTAAAGCGTCTTGAGTAGCCCGGCTTCACCAGTCTAGACTCAAGAGCCCACCAAAGAAATTATTCTCCAGAATAGAATTGAGAGTAGTTCTGAGTATATAGATGAGACTAGCTCAGAGGAAGCCACTTCAAGTGCAAGTTGAATCCTGAAGACCCGTTCTGGGTATTTGTGAAATCTTGCGAACACAGGGAATATAGACACCTCTTGCATAAGACTTGGTGGATCACTAGGATAAACCAGTGCTCGCATAGGGCCCACTAGCCCAAAGTGGAATCATCAGTTTGGAGTGGAACAGCAAGGACTAGGGCTGAATAGCTCAGATTACAACCTGGCTAATCTTGCCTGGAGTAGTCCGGGCATTTGCCAGCAAAACGTAGAAAACGTTCTTTAAAGGTGCGAGCATGTTCATTTCTGAGGGAGGATTGGCGAGAACCAACCCTGTTAAGGATTGTCTATTCACTGTTCTGTCTTGTTTGTGCTTTGCCTTGGTCAGAGGCCTATGCAATTGCCTCACTCGGGCCATGCCTGGTGCCAATCTCGGCCATTTGTACAGCTACGAGAGTGAGAGCGAGTGACTTGCTTTGGCACAATTTGCCATGGCTAGGCACGACTTGCTTTGCCTAATGACTTGAAAGTCCAGGTGCGAACGACCAATTTTGCATTTTTCAGAGTATGTATATATTATATATCCATTTTTCTGCAGGTGCCTCTTGCTCAGTGCAATGTAGGCTCCAGGACATTCTGTCCGTCATCAGCTTCTGCGACACTTTGTTTTGGCTGAGGCTGTTTGACATTGAGAGTTCTTGTGTTTCTCATATATAGATATGCAAGAGTGCAAGAATATGCAGCAATATGCTCGATTCACAGAGACACTTGCAGGTCATGTCACCAATGTCTCGTCATTTTTGATTCTTAGTCTATCCCTCCAGGTGTGCCCTCAACGACCCTCTGCAGACGTCTTGCTGGCACCGAGCCCAGGGAGCAGAACTCCAGCGTCCTCCTCATGGAACCTGTGCAGTTTGTGTTGAATGGGGTCAATGCTCCTTCAGACATGATTGCTGAAGGCATTGGCATGCATTGGAGCAGAAGCTCAGAGGGTAGAGTGTTGGTGGATAGCAAGATTGCGCCATGGGCGTCTCAACATGGGTCGGTGTGGCATCTGTCGCTTTAGTTTGGGGATACGATAATGGAGCCAAAAACTCCCGGAGACCACCATTGGGCTGGTCGAGCTGGGTGGCCCTTGGACCTCAATGGCAAACATCTCACGCGGAAGCTCCGGTCTTCGATTTTTGTGATGAGACCAGCGCGAAGCTTTCAGTGGACGCTTTCCATTCGGTCGGCCTTTATGATGCTGGTTATCGACACTTTCATTTGGACGACTGCTGGGCTGATAAGGAGCGAAACGAGTCAGGGTTTTTGCAGGCCGAACGGGACCACTTTCCAAATGGGATGAAACCAATAGTGGACTACGCTCACTCGAAAGGCCTTACTTTTGGCCTCTACACATGTGCTGGCAACTACACATGTGTGGGTGGTCGCCCTGGCTCACGAGGCCATTTTCAAGAGGATGCTGCTGTATTTGCTGAATGGGGGGTCGATGTGGTGAAAATGGACTGGTGTCATACTGAAGGAATGGATCCAAAGGAGACCTACACGGAGTTCTCGAAGGCGCTCAATCAAACTGGCCAACCGATACACTTTAACATGTGTGAATGGGGAAGGGATGACCCTTGGAAATGGGGGCCAGAAATTGCCCAATCGTGGAGGGCAACAGGAGATCCTCCCTCCTCTCCTCTCCCCCTCTCTCCTCTCCTCTCTCTCAGTGTTCAATCCTCTTGGATTGACTTTGTTCCAATCATTC